CCCCTCCCAACCTTCAAACACTTTAATTCCATTTTTACATTTTCTCATATTTTTTTCCTTTTCCCTTATTCCCCTTTCCCTATCCTTCTCACTGTCCCTACACCTTTGGTCCTTTTCTTCCTATTGCATTGCAAATATTTACCAGTTTGTCGTTTGATATTTGATATTTTGCATGAAAAAGGTGGAAAGGTAGTAATTTACATTTGTGTATTACCTATATATGCATTGCAAATATTTGTCAGTTTGTCATTTGATATTTGATACAGTATGTGGTGATTAGCTTATTTTGGAGGTCATGGAAATCCACATCAGTTGAATTTATTGTACTTTTCTTTATGGTTTCTGGATTTTGAGATATAATTTAAGATATCTTTCATCTTAAACTTATGAAAGGATCCTAATTTAAGATTCTTTTGCCACAAATAAGCCAATTATTTTAGTCAGCATTTGATATCTTGAGTATGAATTAGTTCCTTAATTGAAATACCCTTTTGAAAAATTACCAGGAAGATAATTAAGCAAGCTAATAAATTAAGAGAGGGTCTTCTGAGTAAGAGTATCACAGGTGTGCAATCAGCAAAACATTTTCTTCTAGGTCTTTAATTCTCATTTTGGAAGTATGGTACACAGGTGAAAAAACTCATGTATTAACCATGGCCATTTTTTCTAGACAAGTGACTCCGATGCCGTCAGCCCCACAGGATCACAGCCAAATGACAGGCATCAGGACGACAGCAGCAAAGCCCCCAGAGAACAGCCAGGAGATTGGAAGGTGCAGTCTCGAAAAAGAACTCAAACACTCCCTAACCGGAAATGTTTCTTGACATCAGCTTTTCCGAGTACCAACAGCAACAAAGTGGAGATCTTTAAAACTGAGTTTTGGTCACCTTCTTCAGAGGTCAAGGCGGGGGAAGGGCACAGGAGAACCATGTCTCAAGACTGGCGCCATCTTTCTGACTCCCAGCGGACTTCAACTTATGATAACGTCCCTACAGGGTCCCGTGGTGATGGCATGGATACACCCTCTTCCCCCGCTTCTGACTCCAAGAGACATCTCCTTGCCAGCACAAACTCTGAAACAGGGCCCGAAGGGAAGAATTCTGCAGAAGAGGAACTTGATTCTTTGCAGAAGATGGTCCAGGACCTACGGAAGCAAATAGAAACACAGAAGAAAACGTATGAAGAACAGATTAAAAAGTAAGTTTCATACAGAGAACCACTGGGAAGTGCTAGGCTTCCACCTTTAGAAGTCATCTGGATTATTCTCCTTGGCTGAAAAATTCACGTTACAAACTTTCTAGATAGGAAAGATAGTAATATAGCTGCTGAGTCTAATAAGGAAAAGGGTTAATTAAGGTAGGGATGGAATGACTAAATTGGTGAAAACCCTCCCCTTTAATAGAGTTATGAAAACTTAAATACCCAGCTTGAGTAGCTAAACTAACAATTTCCTAATAGTGATTCTTTATGGATCATCATACTTTATTTAAGAGAAATCTGTGATTTCTGCAAATATTTTTTGACTCCCTCCTTTGCATCAGACACTATTCCAGGTACTAAGGAAGTGCACTGAGCAAGACAGCACCATATGCACTGTGCTAATAGTGTCCTCTGCTCTAGTGGGGTCAAACAGACAATAAAACTATACACTGAAATGTACATTATGTCAGATGGTGGAAAAGGTTATAGGGAAAATTAAGTACATCGAGAAGTTAAAGAGTGCAAAAAGTTTTTTTTTTTAGAAGTTTTAATATTAAATGGAGCAATTAGGGAAAACTTCACCAAGAAGGTAGCATCTAAGGAAATGCCTAAAGGAGACAATGGGATGAGTTAGATGTACAGATGGATAAGAGTATGGTGAGAAAAGGGAAGCCAAAGTAGAGAGGCTCTGAGGAGTACAGATCCAGCACATTTGCACAGGAGAAATGGAAGGGCCTGGAACAAGGGGGAGAGCACTTGTAGGAGACACAGGTACAGGAGGCTGGAGCACAGGAAGTTTTGTCAGCCATTGAAAGCCTGATGAGATGGAAGTTTCCACCAGGCTTGTGCTTCATCTAATCACTGACTTCTCTCTGAGCAAAGCTACAGGGAGAAAGAAAGTGGGAGGCCAGTTAGCAATTACCACAGCACGGTCTAATTCCTGAGATGAGTGCCCAGGATTTGTTTTCTTAGTTTGGTAAAAAATTTTCTCAAAATCTTTTCATACTGCTGATTGGCCAGGAAATTCTTTGTCATGAGCAATAACCTCACTCCTTATTAGCTCACATGAACACTAGTCATAAGACTGTAAAATGTGCATTCATGGGTTTACATATTTATGGTCACTTCTTCATCCATTAAGACTTATACTGAAAGGAAAACAGTTGTGAGCCCTCGTCCATGTACCCTGCAGGAGGATGTTCATATAGAAGTAAAATGTAGCTCTTTGAGTAAAAGAATTTGAAACTGATCACTTGTAAAATTACAGATCTTCTGTAACATCTTGGCAGTGACCAAAGCATTCCAGAGAAGGCTGGTTGTACTCTGTACTGGCCAGAGATCAAAGGGCCAGGGAGCATTTATAGTACCCAAAGTCACACTTCCATAATCCATCCAGACACACTCAGAAATGTACTTCACTAATCCTCTGGAAAGCTCTAAAGACCATCAAGTTGATGATCCAGCTTAACTACCACACTTTAATTTGAGTGTCATTGGTAGGGTAGGACAAAAAAAAAAAAAAAAGGAAACCCAGCTGCCACATAGAAAAAAAAAAAAAAAAAAAAGGAAACCCAGCTGCCACAGAAATGGCTGATCCTTCTGAAAAAAAGTCCTGTGAGTCCACCTGTCAGGGGACCCCCATTTATAGAAGAAAGAGGATAATGAGCTGCTGGCAGTATCTACTCTGAGATTTGTGCTTCAGAGATATCTTCCTATGGAACCCCTATGGCAATCCTATGAAACAGGAGAAGATATGTAAGCTCAGAAAGTATAAAAATGTGCCTGAAATTCGCATCGCTGATCATTAGTGGATCAGACCACTTAGATTCTACCTCTCCACTGGAATCAGTGGTCAAGATGTAGTACAGAGTCTCACTTAGGATTTTCTCCAAGACAGAAGGTGTGGAGAACTTTGAGAAGTAATGAGAGGGTAAAAATGAATGAGACCAATTTTTCTCAAAGAAAATGTAGGCAGGATTCTGAAAAGACTTTTACATGCAGAATGGACTAAGGCCTTTGAAGACAGAAACCAAAGCACACATTCAAATGGGAACTCAGATTTCTACATGAACACAGGTGGGCTGTTTAGGAGTCCATAGACAGTACTCCACAGAATGAAATTCTGAATCACTTCCAGTCACACAATCTGAATTTCACACCCATCCCCAGGTTCAAATTTCTCTTCTTTGGCTTAAAAATGGAATATTAGATCCATTCCTTACGGTTGATTCAGCATAGTCTAGGAAGAGACACCTTGGACTATATTAAGATTTTGGTCAGTTACTATCAAAGTTCTGGGGATCCAGAAAACGTGCAGATCTTTGAGTTGGAGCTGACCAGACAGTAGCTACCCAAAGGGAGGTTTCCTTTGCTCCTTTAAATTTTGATCCCAAGAAGGACCTTAGTAAACAAAGGTTCTGATCCATGCTTTCTACTGGAAGAGGGTGAGGAGGCATCATGTACAGAAATGTTGAGAATGTGGAATATGGACCGGGCCTCCACAGTTTTATTGAACAAGAGAGATAGAAGGTGCCGTAGAGTGGAAACATCCATATATTAGAGTGGTCTCTTTATTCAAAGATTTTATTATCTGGTTGAGGATATAAAACATAAAAAAATGACAAACAGTAACACAAGTAATATCACAAGATGGTGAGGGGCTCAGTCATACTTTGGGAATTCAAGTGGGAAGTCTCCCTGTGGGAGGAGGAGCATAAATGAGAGGCACAGGTTAGACTTTACTCTTGGATTTTGGAGAGGAAAAGGAACAAGAAGGTTGTTAGCAAGAGAGAAGGAGTGTAAAGGAAGAGTCTAAAATTAATGCCCTATTCTTTCATTGTTTTCTTTCCTTCCATTCAGTCTTGAGAAGGAAAATTATGATGTCTGGGCTAAAGTGGTGAGGCTCAATGAAGAATTGGAGAAGGAAAAGAAGAAGTTCACAGCTCTGGAGATTAGCCTTCGGAATGTGGAACGCTCCCGGAAGGATGTGGAGAGGAGGAACAAGGTTTTGGAAGATGAAGTCAAAGCATTTGTCAAATCGATGAAGGAACCCAAGACTGAACCTTCAGCGTCCTAGAAACACCAGAAGGACAACTCAAGAAAAGCTTGACTCTGCTCCTTTTCTCAGTAGTGTGTAACAACTGGAAAGGTAATTTAATTCCCTAAGAGGGAAAGGACATTTTACAGGAAATGTCATATTGCCTAATAAGTAAATCAATGGAGGTTGCAGAGGGACGAGGATGAGGAGAAGTACGTCTGGACACCTATGACCACTTGTCACTGAACTCAAAGGGATTGTATTATTCCTCTGTGCCCTCGGGAAGAGTGAATGAAATCTTCCATGGTGGATAACTAGTTCCAACAGAGATGTATGAGATAGGTGACATCTAAGGACCCAGGCAGAAAGCTGGCCTTAACCTGGACCTGGGCAGAGACATTAGTGCTTTGTTTCTGCATAGAATAACTCACTCAGTCAGATGGCCTTAAGGTACTTCTGAGGCATGGGGCAGAAACTGATATTCAGCTCTCCAGAGCTCATCCAGGAGGACTATGATTGAGAGGCTGTGACTGCTGGAGTGGGAACCCCATTCTGCCATCCTCATCACAGTGCTCATTCTCCAGGGGTTCTCAGACTTTAATGTTAGATTAATGCAAAGCAAGCAACAAGCTGTATTTATAAAAGCAAAATTGAAGACAAAACTGTATTCAAATAAAGTAATTTTAAAAACAAAAAAGAAAGAGAAGCCTGTTGGCAATTCATACACCTTTGTAAGAAAATGAATGACATCCTTTCCTCAGAGCAGACATACCTCTCTCGGGCACGTGGCTGGGTGACCAGGACATGATATTCAAGTCCTTTCAGTGGCCTTAATGGTGTGTGGAGAGCCCAAGAACAAAGGTTTCTTACTATGTTGTGACTTCCTTAGAGACTTGTGAGTTTACATATTAAAAGTTATGAGAATAATAATTTTTTCCACTTGTCAAAATGCAAATGATTTTACCTTGTAAAGCTATGTTGATCACTTAGACAACATCTAGGAGATGAGTTTTCCCAGCAGATGGCTGACTATTCCTCTTCTGGGTCAAGCCAGCGTGGCATTGGCCCCCTAGTCAGGCCCCAGAACCCTAGGAAGGTTAGTTTAGTTAGGTGATCTCCAGGAAGTTTTTGACTTTCAAGTTCCTTCAATAGAAAATGCAGGCATATTTATTTATTCATGAATTACAGTCAGCCCTCTGCATTTGCGGGTTCTTCATCTGTGGATTCAACCAACTTCAGATAAAAAGTGTTTGGGGAAAAATTGCATCTGTACTGACTGTGTGCAGACTTTATTTGTCTTGATTCCCTAAACAATACAATGTAACAACTATTTACATAGCATTCACTTTGTATTAAATATTATGAGTAATCTAGAGATGACTTAAAGTATAGAGGAAGGAGATGTGTGTAAGTTATATCCAAATACCATACCACTTTTTATAAGGAATTTGAGCATCCAAGAATTTTAGTGTCTGTATGAAATTCTGGAGTAACTCTTCCACAGAAATTGAAGGTTAACTATATGTAAAGCTACCTTATGTAATCTAAATAATGATAAAATCAAAAACAAGATGCATGGATGTTCTCCAATAATCTTTCAACTCGAGACCACCAGCACAGTTGCCCAACAGGTATTATTGGTTCCAGTTTTGTATCTTTTGTCCCATTGCTCCTATAAATTTACTTGAACTGTAGAAACCACATGGCTTAATCGGTGTTTTCCAGTATGAATCACCACAGTGAGAGTTTAGCCCTTCCCAACACGTATGCCTCCTCTGTTATTTCCTTTTCCTTTTTCTTCCCTGGATTAATCCTCCCTGCCTCTGACCTTGACTTTTTACTCACACAGTGACATCAGGTGTGTCAGTATTTCTTATTCCTGATGCTCAGGACCTGATGCATCACCTCCAGCGCCATTTTAATGGAGAGGGGTATGGCACAGGAGCATCCTCCTAGAGGCCAATTTGCAGAAGATAGCAGGTATGGGGTGAGAGGGAAGTTTGGGGCATTATTAGGAAAATCAATAAAATATTTGATTTCCTGTGCTCTACTTTTCTTTAATTACAGACTCACAAACATATTGGACATCTTTTTTTTTTTTTTTGAGATGGGTCTCACTATGTAGTTCAGGCTGGCATGAGTTCACTATATAACCCAGATTGGCCTTGAACTCATGGAGTTCCTCTTGCATCCCCTTCTGAGTGCTGGGATTACAGGTGTGCACCATCATGCCTGGCTGATTGGACACCTAACTTTAGTTAATGAGTAGCTGCTTTTCTGCCAGCATATGTCCCTATCTTCTCCCACAGATGTCTCAGATTCATTAGGTACTAAACCAGAGTCGAGGATGGCAATGGTCAGCATCGTAGCTCCACAGAGAACACATGTCTGACAGTGCAAAGAGGAGGCCCTGAAATATGTTTCAAAGCCTTGCTGGGCTTGACAGCTACAGCTCAGGCCTAGTGCTACCTTTGAATCTCATCTCTCCTTGTCTGGCAATGCTTCTATCTCTATCCCTTCCACCAGTGATGTGAGAAGCAGAGCCACCCTACCAGCTTCAGAACACTGGGCAATCAAAAGAAGAATCTGGCTTTCTTAATGTACCCTTCCTTGGTTACATGCCAGCCTCCATACAAGAAGAACACAAACACAGGGTTCTTCCAGGAGTGTTGGTCATTTTCACTCCAAAGGGAGCCAGGGAATATCAGGGTTCTGATGCCGCTGCACTCATTCCCTCAAAAGGATAAGCATGAGATGCACATCAGGGTCACTCTAGGCCTTGCCTGAGCCGAGGTCCAGTTTCTGGAAGGAGGCACTGGAGACTAATCTATGTCAGGTATTCTGTTGGACCCAGGAACTCCCACCTTGACTTTGTAAACCATTGCATGGACAGGATGACCCTAAATCTGCCTCCCCAGCTTTCACCTTCTCCTGCTGTGCCCACTCACATGCTAAGAACATACAAAGGCCTCCAATATGCACTTGAACTCCTTGCCTTTTCCCTGCTGCTCTTCTTTTTCCTTGCAGTCTTAGAGATGGCACATATCAGGACTCATTTCTCTAAAGTTTAAGGCAGACCTGGCACCTTTCCAGTAAGCTTATATAATGTATGTGAAAATTTTGTACTAGGGAATTGTCTGGGATGATTCCCTCCCGATAGATTTTTGAGGCCTGAAGAGACCAAGAGTGGCATTGCAGCACAGAGCCTGCTGCATAGGATGTAAGCAATAAACATCATTGCTGTTTCTTTTGACCAACTTCCTTAAGCTCTGCTCAGAAAAGCAAGAAGCAGGAAACTCTGAAGCAGCTGAAGGCTACTGAGAGGGACTGGACAAGGAGAGCCACAACAACTGCTGGCTGGGCTCCACAGGCTGGGAACAGGAAGATGCCTGTGCACTGACATCGAGTAAACTTCCACATTTCACCACTTCCTGTGCAGATACCAGCAGCGAACAATCCATGTGCTTGCTGGAAAGCAGAGAGAACACTCTTGCAATTAAAACAGGCTGTCTTTGCAAGAATCATATGGAATCCTTCATCCTGCCTGAGGAAGAGGGAGATCCTGGGAATGAAACTGCAGCCGTGTTAGCCCAGGTCACATTGGAGAGCAGAAGAAAGAAGTGGAGGCCTTGTGGCTCAGAAGATTTTCCAGGGTAAACTCAGATAAAGAATGAATAGAATACCCACAAGGATGTGTAACTTATTCTGTTTTCTCTGCTACTGTTTTAGAATCATAGGACTTTAGAACTGGAAGACATTTTGTGTGTATGTAATCCCAACTGTTTTCTTAGTGCACAGGGAAATTGAGGCCCCATGACATAAACCGAATAGCTAGTGCTCCCACAGCAAGAAGAAAGACTAAAGGAGATGATGTTCAAGGGGTCCCCTAGCTCACAATTCAGAGATTCTTGTGATTCTTAGCTTCCTTCCAAGAGCTCTTTCTCCAAAATTGCAGTCACAGGGCAACTTTTGCTCGTGATCACAACCAAGACCTACCTAAGAAAATGCCATTGTTTCACATGTTTTCTATTACCAATATTGCTCTAAAACAGTGGCTCTCAGTCTTGGCTACACAGTAAAATCATCTTAGGACCTTAAACAGAATTCTGATGCTCATATTCTACCCCATATCCATCGAATCAGAATCTTTGCAGGTGGGCCCTAAGAATTGATGTTTTTAAATTTTTTTGCTTGATATTAATACACGACCAGGATTGTTAAAAACTGTTCTAAACTATTAAGCTTGGCTCGAGTCATGACTAGTGATTATATTAATCTACCAGCTTTCTTCCAATCAAGGTAATTTTATCCTGGTCATCCTTTCATAATGGTTTATCACATGCTTGTTCATTTAGGATAAAGCATGCCTAAGAGATAAAGAATGGACTTATTATGTACCCATTTTCAGATGGAGAAAATTCACCCAAAAGAGATTTCAAAAAAATCTCATTATAATAATAACTTAGTCATAAACAAATCCAAGGATTTCGAGATCCTCTCAACTTACTTGAAAGGCTGACTTTCTACCTAGGCAAACAAGGTAAAGTACTTGAGGGCCTGATTTTAAGACTCCTGAGAATATCTCTGCTTAAAACTATATTAGATCATATTAGATTCATATTAGATCAAGAAATTCCTACTGCTAGCCCTCAGGATATTAATCACAAATGTTATTTTACTGAGAGACAACTGTGAGGCCTCATTTATACTATCTTTGTATCAGTTGTCTGATTCCTGGAAGAGAGCTGTGTAATGAAGAAATGTGTGCCTGCCCTAGATATGATATGTTATGGGTGAAGGAATAGGAATAGGTCACATCAAGGATATGGATATGACAGAGGAATACTGCAGTGTGGGCTGTAACCACCCGAGATGGGGTGAAGAATCAGAGTGAGGCAAAAGGAGAATTCAAACTGCAGGACAGAGAAAACGGTTTGCCCCCAAGTCTGCCTGATAGCTGCTTGAAGTTGGCACTTTGACTTCCCCTCTGCCCTCTGCTCTTTTTATCTTTTTATTGAGTTTATTGGTACATTTTAGGTATACAGTACAATTACATTCATCATTGGGATCTTGTACCTCTACATGACAGGTCTTGGTTCTCATTTTTTCCCCTTGTCCCTGCCCTCCCTTCACCCCCTCCTCCCCTCCCCATTTACAAACACTTTATTTCCATTTTTTCATTTTCTCATATTTTTCCCCTTATTACCTTTCCACTGCCCTTCCCACTTTCCTCTTTATTGATGAGCTCCCAGTCCTGCCAAAGCTCTCACCACACTAAATGCATCCTGGATTCCTTTGACACCAGTCCCAACATAACAAAAACTACTATGAAGAGGAGCAGATATCATTTACTCTCCGCCAAAATCTGTGCTAAGCATTTTGTATGTCATCTCCTTTAGCTCTCAGACCAACATTTTATTTATTTTATTTATTTTTTTTATTTTTTGGTACCGGGGATCGAACTTGGGTCCTTGTGCTTGCGAGGCAGGCCACCGAACCGCTGAGCTAAATCCCGGCCCCAGACCAACATTTTAAAAATTGCAAACACACCTATTTTGCTGAGGTTTTAACACAGCACAGCTAAGAACGGAAATGAGCCTGTTCGATCTGTGTGATGCCTCATTGCCCATGCTTTCACGTAGGGAAAAGGTGCAATACCAAAGCTATGTCTTAGGAATGAAGAAGTAAGATAAAGTTTCCATACCCTACTACTTGGATTTTGAATGGCCCCCAAAAGCCCATGCGTTGAAGGCTTCCCCTCCAGCCCGTGGCACTACTGGGAGGTGATGGGACCTCTAACGAGTGTTCCTTAGAGTACGGAAGTCCCTTCTTTGGGGTCATGCCCTTGCAGGGAATATTGGAACCGTGACCCACCTCCTCCTTTCTCTGTTTTTGCTTCTCAGCCCCACCGTGACTTGAAGAGCTTCCTCTACCATATACTCCATTATAATGAACAGTTTTACCACACATCCAGACCAACATGGCCAACTAAACACTGACTGAAACATCTAAAACTGTGAGCCATAATAAAACATTCCTCTTTTAAAGTTGATTATCTCAGTGATTTTGTTATACTAACACAAAACTAAGATACCAAGGACATGTTTTTGTTTTTTTTTAAGAGAAGCCTGACCGGAGCTTAGGAAAGAACCACTAATTGTGCCTTCTCTGATTCAACATCAAGGTAG